AAAAAAAAAAGGTAGCTGCCGAGGCTGCTTATGTACAACCAAACACCTCATGGGATTTGGTTCCTTGGTTTGGAGGTTTAGGGTTGTGGTTTCATGGGCTATCCCAGATAATTGATCTAATATGTTTAGTGCTTCTGTTCTACCTCCTAGTTTGTTGCGTAGTGCCTGGTGTCTTAAAAGCTTACAAGCGGCCATCCAAGGCACAACAATTGGTCTCTATTCACCAGGAGCAACAGAGGAAGAAGGAGAATCAGGAATAGGAGGACCCTGTGGAATGTGTGGTTAATTGCCTTCATGAACAGCTGCCTCCTTTGCCATGAGACCAGAGGAACTGGGTGGTGCCCAGCTACTGTTACTGAACATTTTGGTCAAAGATTCCATAGTAGGATCCTGATCAAAAGGGGGAAAATGAAGAACATTCAGATTCTCATGGACTCTCGGTTTCCTGGAGCTGTGGAGGGCAGATGAACCCCTGAAACTACTGCCCTGAGATCATATTTAAACCTTAAACCAAAAATATCCCCTGAAGTCATCTTAAAACCAAAAGTAGTTTAGCTTAACTAGTGAAAAACGTCTGCCTTGAGCATTATACTCTTTTAGGAACTATCTATATAGGATCAAAATGACAGCAACTCAAAAGATAAGATAGGAACCTTAGGGGGCAGTGAGTTTATGTTAATGGGGGAGGAACAACTCCAAAAAGGAGGGTGAGAATAGTTGGACAACTCGAATGTAGTCAGTGTCACTAAATTGTACATGTAGAAACTGTTGAACCTGGTGTATGTTTTGCTCTGCATATGCTCAACAAGAAAATAAATCAAACTTAGAAAAAAAAAGAATTTACAATTCTTTGTTAAAAATGTCATTAATTGTTAAAACATATTTTTCTTTTATGGAATTCCTACAAATTAAAAACATTTGCTCACTCAGCATTTCTGGGAAAATAGCTTTATATTCTCCCTTACTGAGTTTGATGATCACATACAATCACTACATGCCAGCATGTGTTATCGCCTTCTGTATTAGATTCTGTATTAGATTTATTTGTGTTCTTTTCTTCTCCCTCACTATTAAGGAGTTAGAAATTTTTTGAGAAAAAGAATGGTTTTATTTTTAGTTTCCAACAATGCCTAGAACACATAGTGAGTGCTCAGTAAATGTATCAAATTGATTTAATTAGATTTTATAATTGTCTTATAGACATCAACTAGTCAAGCAGTCTTCCGTCTCCAGTCTGGCATCTGCCAGCTCTTCCGAGAAACTTTAATTAACAAAGGTTTTGTGGAAATCCAAACTCCCAAAATTATTTCAGGTATACTTCAAAATATTTCTCCTAACTCTTAAAAATAAGTTTACTTTACACAAAGTTACTTAATATTAGTTTTTTGTTTTGTTGGTTTGTTTCATTTTGTTGAGACTACCCAGTGTCTCTTAAGGCTGATTGCCATGAGCTGATTGATCTGACAACCATACTAGAGCAGCAGTCAGGTACCACTGGCATCAGTAATACTATACCTCCTTATTTCAGGAGTGTTTGTGTGAGAATGATTATAGAATGAGGCAATAACACTCAAAACAAGATTCTTTGTTACGTAAGTTGCTCCAGGAACTATTTTCACTCTGTAGAGTTCTTTCAAAATTGGTACTACAGTTTTGTACAAACTGCATTGTAAAATCACTAAACACTACAAATGGGAAAATCTCATTAATTCTGTTTCTTATATGAGAACCTTATCTTAATCATTTTACCTTTTTTTAGAGTTGCTAAAGTAACACTAGAAAGTGTGTTACAAATGACATTTAGTTATAAATAAAAAGAAATTGAACATTGCATTCTTGATCAGAAGAATAATGAAGAATATATTGTAATTTTTTTTTTTTTAATTTTTGCAACCCCACAGTAGCTTTAATAGATTTGAAATCTATGTGAAATTGATGCAGAAAGTAAGGGAATGGTATTAAAATGAACATATATCCAAAGAAGTCAGTCTGACCTAACTATAAACTCTTTTTAAGAAAAGCAAAACTGATCCACTATGATTTATCTGCAGTTCTTGATTTTCCAAGTTTTCTTTTTTTGTTTTAAAGTAAACTACTTAAACTACTTGTTTTTATTAGGTTTGCATTGATAAGCTTGCAATTGATTATAATAATATGAATATTTATATTTCAGCTGCCAGTGAAGGAGGAGCCAATGTATTTACTGTGTCATATTTTAAAAATAATGCATACCTGGCTCAGTCCCCACAGCTGTATAAGCAGATGTGTATTTGTGCTGATTTTGAGAAGGTTTTCTGTATTGGACCAGGTAAGGTTTTGGGAGATAATGGTTTTGTCGAAGTTTATTAATTGTATAGTAGCTATGGTTTTAGAAACGCATGTTACATACATACAATGTACAGACATTTTGAAAGTTTAAATTTTCTTGTCTGCACTATATAAACACTAGACTTTGAGGTACAGATGGCAGTGTGCTTGGGCAGACATTTCAAAAAGAAGGAAGTACGCTCAATAGGTCTTTAAACAGTTGAGCATCATTTGTGTGAATAGAATCATAGCATGTATTCCTGCAGAAGAATGCTGAAGAAAAATTTTTATCTGGGGGATATCTCATTTTCAAAATGCATGCTTTAAATATATATATTCTCTGAAGCATACCTAAGTATATTTATTATACCTAAGTGTAATTAAAACAGAATTAACTCCCATTTAGACTGTCCTTTCAACTCCTCGTCACTATTTAAAACCAGGTAGTTGCAGTCTTCCAAATAAAGCATTTTGTTGTCATTTATAGCCCCTTAACTACTGTTGTGAATTTACATTTGCTACCAGTTTTATCCCTGAGCTGTTCTGTTTGACTATTATTATTTGTACTGTCCTTAGTATTGGTAATATTAAAGCCCATTAAAGATTACTAACAAATGTCTAATCTTTAGTAAATTATATTAACATGGTTTTTAAGATATATTTGTTAGATCCAAGCACTGGCACATAATCATGTGGCAGATTCTTTTGTGAAGTTAATTATAAGCAAAACAGCAGCTTTACTTCATTCTTTAAAATGTACCAGGTTATCTCATGCAAGTTTTTTGGTAGCTTAATGAAAATGAATTGCCAATAGAGATCATTAAGCGTCCTAATTCTCTGAATTTATTACCCAGTTATTATTGAACACCTGCTGCATATATAGCCTTGTGCTAGGTACCATGTACATAAAAGAAGAATCAGTCAGCATTTCTCAAGCATTAATGTGCACATGAATCACCTGGGGATCTTGTTAAACGCAGATCCTGATCAGTAGGTCTGGGGTGGGACCTAAGATTCTACATTGTTTACATACTCCCAGGCAGTGCCATTGCTGTTGGTTTGCAGACCACAGTTTGAGTGGCAATGGAATAAACATTGTCCCTGCTCCCAGACAGAGTAAGACATGCATAATCAAATGCTTTTCACAAATTGTGCTGTACAGTCAGTAGATTGGTGTTAGTTATGCAGTACAGGTAGTAAGTGTCAAAAGAGGGAGAAGATGCAGTTTGCTAGAGTCACTGTAAGAGAAAATTCAAGCTGAAATGAGCTTTAAGGAGAGAGTAGGCTACTATATAGACAATGGAGATAGCATTCTAGTCAGAGGAAATCAGGATAAGTAAAGAACATAGACTATGGAAGAAAACAGTATCACTAGTTAGTGTTAAGAAGAAATGGGAAAAAGACCAGACTTGTCTAATAGAGACCAGAGGAACCATCCAGACTATTGCCCTAAAACACCCTTCTTACATGGAACTGAAGCCACCCCCGGAGATCACCTTTCAGCCAAATAATAGACAGGCTTATAAAATAAACAATAATGCCCGTGAGGAGGGTCAACTGTACGAGACCCAAAGGGCAACATTTCCCCAAAAGTAAAGATGAGAAGGCAGGAAAACCCAATGCATGGAAACTGGAACCCAGGGTGAAAATGGGGAGAGTACTGACAAATTGTGGAGATTGCAGCCAGTGTCATGGAACAATTTGTGTATGAATGAGAAACTAATTTGCTGTGTAAACTTTCACCTAAAGCACAATAAAATGTTCAAAAAAAGAAGAAATGGGAAGTGGAGGTTAGGATTAAATTCAGAAAGCATAAAAGTGTTAGACTTTTTGTCATTTTATGTCTTATTACAGTAGTCACTTGGGAATCATAAGTTACTGAGTAAGGAATGTGTTATAGGAATATAAATCTGACAGTGATGTGAAAGATGAGCAGAGCTAGAGTCAGGAAGACCAGGAAGGAGGAAGTATAGTGAGCATAATAAGAGCTGGACTGGAAAAAAAAAAAAAAGAGCTGGCTATAATATGCATAATGTTAATTTGTCCAGAGTTTCATTTAGTCTGAGTCAGATTTTTAATGAGAAGAACTCAGTATATTGGTCATAATTGAACCTATTTTTAATTACTGAGAAGGCACCGCAGGATCTTGGCATTTGCTCAGGGTTCTCATGAGCTTCCTTTATTAATTTACATTTGGTACAGCTTTTACTATGTGACTGTAGGAGTTTGTCATGAACTTGTCATCTAAGAGGAAATAGCAAGAGATGGCTCATCAAAGGTCCTTCCAGCCCTATAATAATAGGAAAATAGTATCATTTGAGTACTACTGAGTACAGTTTTGAGTTTAAATCCAGTTTCTCTAAAATTTAAAATACCATTTGCCGTGTATTTCATTTATTTAACTTTACAGTGTTCAGAGCTGAAGACTCCAATACCCACAGGCATCTAACTGAATTTGTTGGTTTGGATATTGAAATGGCTTTTAATTACCATTACCATGAAGTTGTAGAAGAAATTGCTGACACCTTGGTACAAATATTCAAAGGACTTCAAGAAAGGTGAAAAGTATTTTATATCCCTAGATTTATTTACTTTCAAATCAATGTGAGTTCTTTCATGAAAAGCAATTCTTGATTTGAAACGTGCAAACTTGAGTTTCTACTGGAGATGTATATATAAAAGTGATCAGTTTAATAAATGGAAAACTCCACACTAAAAATAGTGCAATTGGATCCAAGTCATTTGGCACCTAACTAGTTAACCTCTCTCTTTTTGGTGGTAAAGTTTACCAGATTGTGAACATTCTAACTATTTGTTTTTTGCTTTATACTGACATCCTGAATGTGCCAAGAAATAGATCGTACAATACTTTTATAACAACTTATTTGGGAGGCAGTATGGAGTAGTGGTTAAGAGTTTGGATTCAGCTACTTCGAGATAGCCGAGTTCAGATCCCAGCAGTGCTGCTTATCTTTGGTCCTTGGACAAGTTATTTAACAGTAAACCTCAAGTTTCTTCGGTTATTAAACGGAGAGGATATTATTACCCACCTCAGTGGTTTGTTGTGAAAATTAAAATAAGTTAACATGTAAATTGCTTCAACTGTGCCTGGTATATGTTGAGCACTCAGTATAGATATAAATTGATCTAAGATATAACCATTACTGACACAGGCTTAATTTATATGTGGACAGACTCAGTAAAGATTAGAAACAAGTACCTGTTAGGATCTGGTGAATTGACAAAGAACATTTATAGAAAATTATTAGACACGTTCAGAAAATTGAGTTACATACAGTGTCCACTTTAGCTGTTGTCATGGTTTGAATTATGTCCCCCAAAAAATGTGTGTATCAATTTGGCTAGGCCCTGATTCCTGGTACTGTGTGATTTTCCTGTATGTTGTAAACCTGCCCTCTATGATGTTAATGAGGGAGGATGGGTGGCAGTTGTGTTAGTAAGGCAGGACTGGATCTACAAGACTGGATTGTGTACTGAGGCAGTCTCTTGAGATATAAAAGACAGAAGTGAGCAGAGAGACAGGGGGCCTCATACCATCAAGAAAGCAGTGCTGGGAGCAGAGCGTGTCCTTTGGACTGGAGACCCTGCGCCGACAGGCTCCTAGTCCGGGGGAACGTTGATGAGAAGGCCGACAGAGAGAAAAAACCTTCCCCTGGAGCTGATGCCCTGAATTGGGACTTTTAGCCTACTTTGACTGTGAGGAGATAAACTTCTCTTCATTAAAACCATCCACCTGCGGTATTTCTGTTATGGCAGCACTAGATGACTAAGACAGCTGTTGTTGCCGTTGTGTGCTATCAAGTCAGTTCTGACTCATAGCGACCTTGGTGACAGAGTAGAACTGTCCCATAAGGTTTCCAAGGCTGTAATCTTTACAGAAGCAGACTGCCACATCTTTCTTCTGCGGAGTGGCTGGTGGGTTTGAACCGCTGACCTTTTGGTTAGCAGCCAGGTGCTTATCCACTGCGCCACCAGGGCTCCTTCCACTTTAGCTACCCCCTCTGAAATGGCAAATAGCTTTTCTGTTAAATGTCATTGAAAGTTGTTAATTTGTGATTATATTTAACATGGGTAAAATAGGAAAAGAAAATGAAAATGAAGTGAGATCAAAAAGTCTCTTTTTTTTTCCTTCTCCATAATTGTGACTACATTTTAAGCATTAGGCAGGCTGTAATATGGATTCAAGCATACCAACGATCCTGAAGATGGTGCAGGACCAGGCAACATTTCACAATGTCTCTATGAGTTGGAGCTGATACCACAAAAAATAATAGGTTATAACAGACTTAGTTAACTCTTTGATAACTGATGAAGAATCGTATTTGGAAATTTGTATTTGAAGGCCAACCATTTATTTTTGATGTATTTGGACATGCTTCAGTGTTGTTTAAAAAGAGTTCAAAAATTTTATGAATCTTACTCCATTCTAAGGCTAATGAGTAATTTCAAGAACCCAGAAATTAATCATTGACATTATATAAAAATACTCTAGCATAAGCACAAGTATTTTCCAGGCATACTCTGCATTGCATTGTACTTTTAATAATTGCAGACAGACTCTTTTTTTAAAAAACAAAAATTTGTCCTGTGAAAAATTTTGACGCAGTGAAACGTTTAATCAAATAGTTCATGGAACAACCAGTGAGGTTTCCTTATAAACCAAAATATCCTTTGAAATTATGATGAAGGAACAGAGCTTTTCTCATTTTCTTTTCATGTTTATAATTCAAGAAAGTTTCTAAAGCTCATTTTATGTTAGTATTGGTAGCTCTCCTGTTTAATATTGGAGTAGGAAATTTTCACTTTGGTTTTTATAACAACAAACCAAGCATGAATCAGGCCCTTGAGACTCAGACACCATTATCACTGGACTTTTTCAGTAAATTTAAGGTGGTATTTGGAAATAAAAGTCTTCTTCCTATATTTGATGAGTCATTTAGGAATTTTAAGTTCCTGTGTCATTTGCAAATTGGGTTACCTGTCTTGTGTCATGTCTCTCATATTTATCCTTAGTATTTACCTCTCATACAAAACTAATATATAAATTTATATCATAAAGTATAGATAGATACTTGTATTGTCATTGGTTGCCCTGAATGGAGGTTAATAACCAAAGCAAAGCAATTTAAAAATCAGTCATTGAGGTCTTCTTATGGCCCTTCTAATATCAAGATTTGAATAAATCAATGGCTAAGATTTAATGCCCCCATGGAAGTCTTTAAAACCATTCAGGAGGTGATAGTATTTTAATTTATACTGTTTTCATAGAATACAGGAGAAGTATTTTTTTATTTCTATTAATTATGGAAAATTTCAAAACACATATAAAGGTAGGAAGACTAGCCTAATGAACTCCCTTGTACTCCATCTAAAATTTCATGGTTTCAACTATTATCAGCCCGCCGCCAATTTTGTTTTACTGATTTCCCCCACCTATGATTTTATCTATAAATAATTCAGCAAAAATATTTTTCGAGGGCTGTGGAGACCATGCTGTCGGGAACATCTAGCTCAATTGGCATAACACAGTTTAAAAAGACAGTGTTCTGCATTCTACCTTGGTGAGTACTGTCTGGGGTCTTAAAAGCCTGTGAGCAGCCATCTAAGATACTCCACTGGTCTCACCCTTTCTGGAGCAAGGGAGAATGAAGAGAACAGGATACAAGGAAAAGATTAGTCCAAAGGACTAATGGCTCACAGCTACCACGGCCTTCACCAGACTGAGTCCAGTACAGCTAGATGGTGCCCGGCTACCACCACTGACTGCTCTGACCGGGATCACAACAGAGGGTCCTGGACAGAGCTGGAGAAGGATGTAGAACAAAATTCTAACAACACAAAAAAGACCAGATTTACTGGCCTGACAGACTGGAGAAACCCCAAGATTACGGCCCCTGGGCACCCTTTTAGCTCAGTGGTGAAGTCGCTCCTGAGGTTCACTGTTCAGCTGGGGATGGGACAGCCCCATAAAACAAAACAGGACTAATGAGGCACAGCAGTCCAGGGACAAGGACTAGAAGGCAGGAGGGGACAGAAAAGCTGGCGATAGGCAACCCAAGGTTCAGAAAGGACAGTGTTGACATGTCATAGGGTTGTTCACCATTGTCATAGGGCAATATGTATACTAACTGTTTAATGAGAAACTATTCTGTAAACCTTCATCTAAAGTACAAAAAAAAAAAAAAAAGGAATTATGTGAGATCAGATTGACAACAGCAACTCAAAAGATTTGATGTGAACCCTAGGGGCCAGTGAGTTGAAGGTAATGGTGCTGGTACAATTTGGAAAAGGATGGTGAGAATAGCAGCACAACTGGAAGAATGTAATCAATGTCACTGAATTGTACATGTAGAAATTTTTATAATGGTGTATCTCTGGCTATGTATATTTTCACCAAAAAAGAAAAAGGGTCCACCAAGGTCGAGAAGGGAGAGTGTTGACATGTTGTGGGGTTGTTAACCAATGTCATAAAACAATATGCGTACTGGCTGTGTAATGAGAAACTATTGGTTCTGTAAACCTTCACCTAAGTACAATAAAATAAATAAATAAACTATTGGGAACAGTGTGATGCTGATTGCACAGCAAGGTGAATGTTACTACTATCACTGAATTGTCCACTTAAATGGTTAAAATGACAATAATTTTGTTACCTATGTTTTACCACAATACAATTAAAAATATATATATACTTTTTAAATCTTAATAAAATATCCTCCATACTAGAAATGCAGTTCTGCAACAAACAAATATTTATCTTGGACTTACTGTGTGTAGGGTAGTCACTATACTACAGGGATTGTCAGAATGGGAAAGAAATTGGCACTCACATTAACAAATTTACAGTATATTGGGAATGAGGGAAGATAAAAGAAGTGTTCATTAATTTGGTCTTCTCAGTCTATAACAAGTGCTATTAAAGGAGTAAAAAGTCATATTTTTATAAAATGTGTATTTTATGTTCCTAACAATGTTAGCTGATCTGAATTATAAAGAAAGATTTTAATTTTTTAACTCTACTATGATGGTGAGCAACATGAGACTGAGAAATGGTGTTAAATATTTTAATTTTATTCCTTAAACAATTTCTTGATAACACTTTTTCTGGTGCATCCACTGATTCAAAGAATGATTTCTTATATTGCCACAGTTGACCCCTTGTGGAGGAAACATTTATCTCCCACTTTTTTTACTGACTAAATCACTGTACAAACAGGTTTGAGACTGAAATTCAAATGGTGAATAAACAATTCCCATGTGAGCCATTCAAGTTCTTGGAGCCAACTTTAAGACTAGAATATTGTGAAGCACTGGCTATGCTTAGGGAAGCCGGCATCGAAATGGGAGATGAAGAAGATCTGAGGTTTGTCGTTGTGATTTGTTTAACTTTAGTCATTAGGCTTAAGATGTGAAAGAATGACTATGTTAATGAATGTTTTTTTTTTCACTCAGCTGATAAACTTCAGTTCTGTTAACTTTGGAATATAGTCTGATGCTTTTTTGTTTGATGTGTGAGCTGAAATAAAATGCTATGCTTAATGTAGTTTGCCTGTAAGCTTCAATAATTTTGTTTGTAAATGTCATTTTTCATTTTTTCCCCTCATATTTACAATGCTTTAAAGAGTACAGGGACTTTTGTCTGTGATTTTACCATATAACATGTTACTTTTCTTTCCAAATCAGTGCTACCAGAGAGGATAGACGGTGTAAATCCCAAAACAGGATTAGGACATAAAACTGTTAAGATCTCCAAAAATTATAAAAATCAGTGTTCTTTATTCGATATACAGTGCTGTATTATCTAAATTCAAATCATACAACTTCAAATTTTGAAATATAAGCTTTATAGTTTAATGAAGATTGAAAAATACTGTCTACTTATATTTTATTCAGAGGTCCCTAAGTTAAAATATTTAAGCTATCATGGCAATACACATGGGTATAGGAGGGAAAGTGGGTGATTGTTGTTCATGGTTTTCTTTAAAACATATTTTACTCAAAAACCTTAACTTTTATTAATTTATTTTTGTGTTTAACAAAAAAAAAAATATGATTTTAAGCAATCCCTATATTGCTGCCTGACATTTTATAGGGCAAACTATAAGTTCTAAAATTAATTTGGGCTATACTTTCTCAAGTATTTTGGAAATTGTTCTTAAGTAAAGAGAGGAGCTAAAATAGCTACCTCTTGACTATAGAAATTTAATGTGTTTATACTAGCACTTTTGCATTTTAGAGACTTGAAAATACTGATTATTCTTTTATAAATCCTCCATAAAGAATAACAAACAAAGGAAAATCGTTTTGAAGTGGAACCATTTAATGGCAAGACTAGTCCATATGGAGATAGTATGAACCTTCATTATGTATAATTGTAGGAAATTATTTCATCATGATATTTCCAAATCAGTGAATTGCTTATTCTGTTTTATGGTTTTTAACTAAGTGTTGTTGAGCAGCACCTACTAAGCACTGAGTCCCCTGTACAAGGTATATTCAGAGAGGCTTTCAGTAGTACTTGTCTTTTTAGAAAGGAGAGGGGATAGACAGTTATGTGTTTGGGTGAAATTTTTTATTCCTTGAGAACTTCAAATAGAAGTGGTGCCTTATTAAACTTAAAACTCTTTTAAGTTACTGTTTGATCTTCCAGCACCTGACTTTTGTTTCTTTTCCAGTACACCAAATGAAAAACTGTTGGGTCGATTGGTAAAGGAAAAGGTAGGACTCTTGTACACACTGAATTTCTTTTTCTAAATCTGGAATGTATTCTGTACTAAATAATAGTCGCATAGGGAAATAAAGTTTCTAGTATGGTATGGAAACCCTGGTGGCATAGTGGTTAAGAGCTACAGCTGCTAACCAAAAGGTCAGCAGTTTGAATCCACCAGGCGCTCCTTGGAAACCCTATAGGGCAGTTTTACTTCATCCTGTAGGGTAGCTATGAGTCGGAATTGACTCAACAGCAACAGGTTTGGTTTTTGGTTTTAGGGTGGTATGATCCAGAATACATAAAAGCCAAGAGATGGGTTTTGTTTTGTTTTGTTTTGTTTTTATTAAAAAAAAAAAAAAAAAAGAAGCCTCTTAGAAGATTGAAAAATATTCAGACAGACCCTGCCCAACTTGTACTGAGCTCTACTAAGGTGTCTCTAAAAGTGAGAGACCTATGTCAGATTAGTAAGAAAGGACCTCAAAATGATTTGACACTATTTAGAAACAGTCTCTCCTGAGTACCCTGAGGAAGAAAGGAATGTGCTTCCTTTCTTCTGTGAAAGCTACTTTTCTGTTAACGTTTTCTAAAACTCCAAAGAAGATAAAATCCAAACTTAATGTGGTCTTTTTTTTTAGAAATTGTGTAATGAAAACAGTTCTTGAGCTCCCCCTCCTGGTTGCACTCGAAACTGTTAAACTGCCTGGGGAACGCAGATATTTAAAGTGCTGTTTAAGCGGGACCAATACCAGTTTGTCAGCTCTGTTGACATTCTCTCTAATCTCCAGTTTTAGCAAAAATGTTTAAGTCGAAGACAATTGAGATTTATTGATTTCTTTTTAATTAAATCTAGGTCACATAGTATTCTTTCCAGCAAAAATGTTACAACTTTTTGTTAATGTTATTTCTTTCAATTGTAGTTTTCATGGGAAAAAAAAAACTAAAAAAATTTTTTTAGTGATTGGGAAGATATGGCAGACTTTTTGGTGACGAATATTGTAAAAGATGTCATTTCTTCCCAAAGTAATTTATAGATTTAATGTAGTTTTACTTAAACCCAAAGGGACTTGGGATAACAAAACAGTTATAAAATGCATCTTCTTAAAGATTAAATGAGCCAGAATAGCAAAGGGAAAAATGAAAATCAAAGATGTTTTGCAGAATTTATGATAGAGGAGAAATTAGAAAAAGATTGCACGTCCAAAAAATGGAAAAATAAATTTTTGTACTATGATTGAATAGTAAATAGCTCCTAAAAATTAGGTATTGGAAGAATTCATGACATCATGGCAAAATGTTTTAGGATACAGATGTTACATGTAAAAAGTAGAGGATATTCAGTTGTATACACAGTGTGATTACAGTAGTTTTTTTTTATTCTTTAGATGAAGGTTTACAGAGCAAATTAGTTTCTTATTAAACAGTTAATACACATACTGTTTTGTGACATTGGTTGCCAACCCCATGACATGTCAACGCTCTTCCATTCTCAGCCTTGGATTCCCCATTTCCATTCGTCCAGCTTTCCTGTCCTCTCCTGCCTTCTCGTCCCTCCCCCTCAGCTGGTGTGCCCATTTAGTCTCAGTGTATACATGGTTGAGCTACTATTGTTTGTTTTATGGGCCTGTCTAATCTTTGGCAGGGTGAAACCTCAGGAGTGACTTCACTACTGAGTTAAAAGGGTGTCCAATGTCCATACTCTTGGAGTTTTTCCGGTCTCTGTCAGACCAGTAAATCTGGTCTTTTTCTGTGAGTTTAATTTTGTTCTACATTTTTCTACCCTCTATTGTGATCCCTGTTAGAGCAGCGGCGGTGGTAGCCGGGCACCATCTAGTTGTGCTAGACTCAGTCTGGTGGAGGCTGTGATAGTTGTGGTCCATTAGTCCTTTGGACTGATCTTTCCCTCATGTCTGGTTTTCTTCATTCTCCCTTGCTCCAGACGGGGTGGGGCCAGTGGAGTATCTTAGATGGCCACTCATAAGCTTTTAAGACCCCAGATGCTACTCACCAGAGTAGGATGTAGAACATTTTCTTTCTTTATTAACTGTGTTATGCCAATTGAGCTAGATGTTCCCTGAGGCCATGGTCCCCAGCCCTCAGCCCAGTAATTTAGTCCCTCAGGGAGTTTGGACATGTCTATGAAGCTTCTGTGACTTTGCCTTGGTCAAGTTGTGCTGACTTCCCCAGTATTGTGTACTGTCTTACCCTTCACCAAAGTGATTGCAGTAATTTTGAAGAAATGTTTATTAAAAAAATACAAGAAAATTATCAAAATGTTAACCTTCTTATTTGTATTAACCTTTTTAAAAATCTATTTTAATTATATTTATTCTTTTTCTAGTATGATACAGATTTTTATATTCTTGATAAATATCCCTTGGCTGTAAGACCTTTCTATACCATGCCTGACCCAAGAAATCCTGTAAGTAATTTGGTTTTAAATAGCCTGTTTGGGGGAAGAGGAAAATTTTACTGTCACTGTATCAAATTGTATAATGGAATAATGATTTTCATTAATAATTTGCAGTTTTAATGGAGACATTGTTATACATAGTATTACTAGTTTCTGCCAGTACAGATCGAAATATTGTGAAATTTGTATATTCTAGCAAATTTGTCCTGAAAACCTATATTAAAAATCATTTTCATGGGTCATTTTTCTGAAGATTAATGAGGAAGGAGGTCAAATAAATGATAAATAGTACTTCCTGATTTGCTAACTTTATTAGTAAATCATTTTATCATTGACCTTGACCTGGGAATTCACATTTTGTCCTGGGAGGTACTATTCTAAATGATGTCTTGTTGCTTTTTACTGTTTTCCATTGCAGTGCTTCTCAAACTTTAGAGTGCATCAGCATCACCTGGAGGGCTTTTTAAAATGCAAATTCCTGGGTTCTACCCCCAAAATTTCTAATTCTGCAAGTCTGGGGTGAGGCCTGAGAATCTGCATTTCTGATAAGTTCTCAGGTAGTGCTGAGGCTGCTGGTCTAGGAATCACACTTTGAGAACCACTGTTTTACTGGGAAGGAGTCCTGGTGGTGCAGTGGTTAAGTGCTTGGCTACTAACCAAGAGGTCAGTGGTTTGAACCCACCAGAGTGGGAGAAAGATATGCAGTCTGCTTCTGTGAAGATTACAACTTCAGAAACCTATAGGGTCACTATGAGTCGGAATTGACTCAGGGCAGTGAGTGTTTTATTGGAAGACAGGGGAAGTAAGTTAGAACTGCTGTTATCAGATACCTGATAGGGAACCGGTTAAGCTGGGGTAAGTTGATTTTCAATTTACTTTCCTTTAAGTAAAGAAATTTAATTTTTTTTCTTTTGATTAAAAAAGACTAATATCCGTTGATAATTTGAAGTTCCAAAAATGATCAAAAGACGTACCACATTAAAAACGTTTCAGATGATAAAGTGAAATAAGGATTAGCACTACTTCTCAGAAGTCAGACGTGGCACTCTGATTTACTGTTGTGGGGTGGAGAGAAGGGGAGCATGAAATCTGATAGAGGCAACTGATAAGTTCTGATCCAGCCCTTGGTAGTTTAATCCTACTTTATAGAAACAAATTAGTGGGTTCATTGGAACAGCTTACATCATTAATTATAGGAGAAAATAGAGTTGCTCTTCAAGCGAAAGAATTTTTTTCCACCTGTATGTAACCTAGGATGATAGCCACATGAACAGTAGTGGTTTTTGTTTGTTTGTTTTTCCTGCAGAAACAGTCCAACTCTTACGATATGTTTATGAGAGGGGAGGAAATTTTGTCAGGAGCTCAAAGAATTCATGATCCTCAACTGCTGACAGAGAGAGCCTTACATCATGGAATTGGTAAACAATTTAAATATATTTAGGAGAGTATCTATTCTGAAAATAGCACATTTTTTTTTAATTTTAAAGACTTTTCAGAAGCAGTCAATTTCTTATCATTGAACAGTGATTGCTTTTGTAACTGTTTAATGCTCAGTAAGATGATAATTGTGTACTTTTTAAAATATTTTACATTTTTCTTGGTGAAAATATACACAGCAAAACAGACGCCAGTTCAACGATTTCTACATGTAACATGTTTTTTTGTTTTAGATTTAGAGAAAATTAAGGCTTACATCGATTCTTTCCGCTTTGGAGCACCTCCTCATGCCGGTGGAGGGATTGGTAAGATTCTCTTAATATTATGTCATACTGGTTTCCAGCCTAAATTCATTTGACAAAGTGATACTCAGTTTGAACTAAATTTGTTTAGCATTAGAATTCAAAAGTAAATTTTGTGTATTGTTATTGCTTACAAATAAGACCATAAATGCTAAGTGTAATACAAACTTGAATTATAAGAATTTTTTAAAGTAAAATGACTAAAATGAAAATTTTATTTCCAAGGGACAAAATGAACAGCTAAGTTATATGTTCTAAAATATTACTTTAATAAAATTCTAGCCATTCTTTTTCTCATAAGAGTTTAGAAGCAAAATGTCCATAAATTGAGTACCCTGTTTTCTCTGTGCATCCTTGAGCTCATTCAGATTAGCCCAAATTAAATCTCTCCCTTGAATTAGCTCAGTTCAGGGGAGAGATTTAATTTGGGCTAATCTGCTAAATATTTTTATTGAAGTATATTATTTGACTGACATTTAGGACCACGTCTAGAATATATGTAATTTAAAATAAGTAAATGTTTAACCAACTCAACTCTTGGATGTCCATATCAAAGATTCTTAAGAAGAATTCTGGATATAGAGGATTTGGATTTTGGTGAATAGGTATAGTCAATTCGCAGTAGTTAGATTGTATACATTCCCCACGAATACTGAATTAGGGAATCCTAACCAGCCTTGTTCAACCTCAGCTGGGAATTTTTTGCCTCTCCGTGCTGGCGCATGTTTAAGACTGACCATAACGAAAGTATTTTTAGCAAATTTGCAAATACAGAATCTGCAGCTAATGAGTATCAACTCTAATACATATACAAAATTTCAGATTAAAAGTTATAAAGAGTATGCATTCACCTCCCTATTGGAAACCATTGTTTCCTGCTTACATTTTGTGAAGATAATCTTCACATATGCAAAAAAAATACACACACATAAATATTTTCTAAATATTTTTACACAAATTGTATCGTACTACATTCAGTACCTTGCATTTTTCACTTAATATATTTTGTACCTTGCATTTTTCACTTCATATATTTTGTAGCTCGTTCCATATTGATATGTAAAGAGCATTTTCATTCTTTTGTTATTGCTACATAGAATTCATTGAAAGGCTACTCCATAATCTTGATAGGCAGGTTTCTATTGATGGACATGTAGGTTGTTACCAGCCTTTTGTTATTACAAACCATGCTACGTTGAATATATAGTTTAAATTTTAATCAGAAATTTAGGGCTGTTTTCTCTTATTCAGTAATATGCATTTTGCATACATATTTTACCACTTTTGTGATTAATTGACAATGTAAATTTTAACCTTAATCGTGACTAAGGAAGTTTGAATGGTTATAACTGGGTTTTGCTTGCTTGTTTTAGCCAAAAAAGAAATTTCAGAATACCACCTGTCTTTTGATAATTAAGGTTTAAGGGGAAGATGGGACATGATTTTGTTTTTTTTCATTAGTCTTAAATTACATTACTATAATACAAGGTTCAAATTTACATCTACAAATGTTTTTTGGTGAGCAACAGCAATAAAAATGTTAATTCTCTAATATATGTTTCTGTCTTGGAGGCTAGATATATTCCTTTAAAACCTTTAGAATTAGAAGTTATTACTGTACAAAATATTGTTTCACCTTACCTGCTTTGTGTGAGATGTTAGTCTTAAAAGACTTCTGTGAAACAGAGAAATCAAAATGCATTCAAAAAGTTTCATTTGTTAGTTCTGCTATGCTACTTAGGTGGTACTTCGTCTTAATTCAGTCTCTGTTTTTGCACTCAAAATATTTAGTGTAATAATGTACTCTACAGCCTTTTATGTTAGGGAGCACCATATTACCTGTCATTAGAATTGCAATAAATTTTCTGATACTCCCGTTAATAAACTTTCTTAGAGGTTTATTACACTCATACTGACGGTCTGAATACATAATTAGAATCTGGTATCATTTGAAAACATAATTTATAAACGGGTTTGTTTTGCTTTTTATTGTTTAAATCATAAATTTTGGACATTTACTTAGATTTTGGTGCATTTGTAGTTTACATTTCACAAAATCTGTGCCACTTAAGGATCTCTCATTTAGTCCTTCCCACGTGCAACACAATCTGTAGTTCTGAATTGGCACCCAAAACATTTGGTTTTGAGTAAACTCAAAATAATAGAAATCACTTTTCCTTCCTAACAGGGATAAGTATTTTGTTGAGCAATGATGTTATGTTGGTAGTTCTAAATCTGTAAGACCCTGAGAGGTTTTTAGAAAAGGAATTAATGATTATTTTTATTCTCCCCAGGGTTGGAACGAGTGACTATGCTGTTTTTGGGATTACACAATGTTCGTCAAACCTCGATGTTCCCCCGTGATCCTAAACGACTCACTCCTTAAGGAAAGCTGTGGTTTTTATTCTTTCCAGTAACCTGCTATCGATCAGGCTGTACCTTAGGCACTTAGAATATGCAATAAAATAAATGCCTTCTCTAAAGTGCTACAATTATTTTTGGATTAATTCAGTATAGGTTAATTTAAAAGAGAAGATTTTTATAACTTTGGACATGCTTTCAGTAGGAAATGCTTGAACATTTTAATAAGAAATTCATACAGTTATGTTGAAAATTCATATTCCATTACCACAGTAAACATTAATAGTTTTAAACAGTTAAGATTATGCAGTTTTTTTTTTCTTTTCTATATTACAATGACCACAGGATTGAGGTCTTAAATTTTCAATATTTGAACTTACTTTTTTTAATTATGACATTGAAATAAGAATAGCTGGAGAAGTATCTGAGATTTTTGTGACTGTATAATTGGCTTATCATGGAAAATTAGAACGTACCCATTCTTAAAATTATGCCCAGAAGTCATATAAAGCAGGTGAAAATACTGGTTAGAAAATATTCAATATAATATTGTTTTAAATTGTTATATTCTAAGTCTGGGTTTCAATAAAATTTTAATGCTAATTATACTTTGTCTTTGTGTAACTTCATGGCAATCTGATTTTATAACTGATTCTTGGCATTTATAATTTAGGGAAAGAAAAAATAACTGGTTTATGTAAATGGTTAAAAACAAATGTTATTCTTAATATATATTCACATCAAGATAATAAGCTCAGATCACCATAAGGGTAGAATCTTAAAACTGAAGGCATGAGTTGGTTAAAATAGTTTATTTCACGTGGGTTAAAAATATTGCAGAATTTTCTGTTTTGTTTTTAATTGGTACTTAGTTAGCAGATGTCACTAAGAGGCACTCCCATCTTCCCCACCAAAAAGAAATTTCTGTGTAAGCATTAAAATTAGAACCATTTACTCTCTGGATTATCATACGTGTTGATGCTAATGTTAATTTTACAGTGACCCACAGGCAATGGACAGAAGTGCTGGTATTTTCCTACAGGAACAGGATAAACAATCTGCAGAAGAATAAAAGGGTCAGAAAGGTAGGAAGTTACCCCTGGAGCATAAGCAATCTGCCCATTATTTTTGAAAGATAGAAGGAACATTTATTTTTTTTTCCCCAGTGTAGATTATGAGCTCTGTGAAGGTGGAGATTCAATTTTTATGTATTTCTTTTATATCCTGCCAAAGTATTTTAAGCACCTCAAAAGTGTTTAACGAATTTATGCCACACTAGCAATAAAACGGACTACTACCCATGTTTTTCTATATTGTATAATCCCCAGGCTCTAAAATAGTACAGTAATAATGGCCCACGGGGTATTCTTAAATTTACAGAATCGTAGCTGCTTTCAGAATAAATGATTTGTAAAGTCTTAGAATGACAGTCTTTTTTTCTATTTAATTACTTTTATTATGAAGTGTTTCAAACGTTCCAACAAGAATGGAGCATGATAAAATTAATACCCCAGTACTCACCACCCAGCTTTATCAAGTCTTAGCAGTATGTCATATTTGCTTTAAATATTTTATTTCAGGAGAAAAGAATTGTGGATATAGTTAAAGCCTCCTATGGACCCACCGATCCATTCCCTCTTATTCTCCCTAGAAGTAACCGCTGTATGAATTCAGTGTTTTTTATTCTTTTCCATGTTTTTATATTTTAACTAAATATTTGTTTCTATGAACATTATCTAGTATTGTTTTGCAGATTTATTTGATATATATATTCTGGAATTTTGATTGGGATTAACCTTGAATTATAGATTTATTTAGGGAGAATTGGGATTTTCCTGTCTTTATCCTTCCGATAGATAAACATGATACATCTCTCCATTTATTGGCATTCTTTTATATCCTTCAAAATTGTGTTTTTAATTTTTAGTTTATGCTAGAATACCTTACCTATTTTTTTTTCCACAGTTGGTAATGGGACCATTTTTTCTATTACTCTTTTAATTGTTTGTTACTAGAGTATAGAAACACTACCAGTTTTTCTGTTGCCAGTTTTTATGCAGCAACATTCTTGAACTCTTTTTAGTTCAGTAGTTTATATTGAGTCTCTTGTATTTTCAATGCAGACAGACATCAAATGCAAAGAAAATAGTAAAAAGTATAGATTCCATCATTAGCCTTTCCAAAACCAAACTCACTGCCATTGAGTCTGTTTTGACTTGTAGTGACCCTGTAGGACAAAGTAGAACTGCCCCAGAGAGTTTCCAAGGCTGTAAATCTTTACGGAAGCAGACTGCCACATCTTTCTCCTGCTGAGTGGCTGGTGGGTTTGAACCGCTGAACTTTTGGTTAACAGCTGAGTGCTTCAGCCACTGCATCACCACAGCTCCTTCATTAGCCATTAGGAGATACAAATCAAAACCACAGTGAGATACCTTGTCACCCCCATTAGAATAGCAGTGATCAAAAAAGAGAAAACAACACGTGTTGGAGAAGTTGTGGAGAAATTGGAACCCTCATGCATGGGAATGTAAAATGATACACTGGAAAAAATTTGGCAGTTCCTCAAGAAGTTGAACATAGAACTATCATATTTCTAAGGAATTGAAAGCAGAGACTCAAACAGCTGCTTGTACACTAATGTTCATTGCAGCACTTTTCACAATAGCCAAAAGGTGGAAACCATCCAAATGTCCAGCAACAGATGAATGGATAAACAAAATGTGATATGTACACTCAATGGAATGCTGCTCAGCCATAAAGAGAAATGAAGTCCTGATGCATACCACTACATGGATAAACCTTGAAAACATTATGCTGAGGGAAATTAGTCACAAAAGGACAAATACTGTATGATCTCACTTATCTGAAATAAGCAAATACATAAAAACCAAAGATTATTAGTGGTTAGAAGGGTGGGAGAGCCCCGGCGGTGCAGTGGTTAAAGCACATGCTGCTAACCTAAAGGTCGATGGTTCGAACCCACCAGCTGCTCCATGGGAGAAAGATGCGGCAGTCTGCTTCTGTGAACATTTACAGCCTTGAAAACCCTATGGAGGCAGTTCTACTCTGTCCTATAATGTCGCTATGAGTCAGAATGGACTCCACTGCAGTGGGTTTGGTTTTGATTTCCGGCGGTGGAAGGGCGGGGGCGAGGGGAGAGGAGTTTTTGCTTAAGACACATTGAGTTTATGTTAATGGTGGAATAATTTGGAAAAGGATACTGATAATGCTTGCACAACATGAATGTAATCAATGTCACTAAACTGTTGTTAGGTGCCGTCAAGTCAGTTCTGACTCATAGCAACCCTGTGTACAACAGAACGAAACACTGCCCAGTCCTGTACCGTCCTCACAGTTGTTGTTACGCTTGAGCCCAAACTGACAGTTGTGTGGGGGGTCAGTGAACTATACATATAGAAATTTTTGACTTGGCAAATGTCGTATATATTTTCACCAATTTTTTTTAAAACAAAAGGTATTGATTCTGAGAGCAACCAAAAAAAACTGATAAATTGGACTTCAAAAGGAAACATTTTTGTGCATCAAACGACTTTATCAAGAAAGTGAAGAGAATATTTGGGAACCATATATCTGATGAAAGTTTAATATCCAGAATATATAAAGAACTACAATTCAACAACAAAAAGACCATCCAATTAAAAGATAGGCAAAGAACTTGAATACACATTTCTTCAAAGAAGAAATATATACAAATGGCCAATAAGTACATGAAAAGATGCTCAAGGTTAGTCATTAGGGAAATGCAAATCAAAACCTCACGCTATGATGGTATTATCAAAAAAAAAAAAGGGAAACTAACAGTATTACCAAGAATGTGGAGAAATTGGAACCCTTGTGCATTGCTGGTGGCAGTGTAAAATGATGCTGCTGTTGTGGAAAACAGTTTGGTAGTTCCTTAAAATTTTAAACATAGAATTACCATAAACAAACAAAAAACTTCACCGCTGTCAAGTGGATTCTGACTCATAGCTACCCTATAGGACAGAGTAGAACTGCCCCATAGGGTTTCCAAGGCTGTAAATCTTTATGGAAACAAACTGCCACATCTTTCTGCCAAGGAGTAGCTGGTGGGCTCGAACCTGCGACCTTTTGGTTAGCAGCCGAGCACTTTAACCACTAGGCCACCAGGGCTCCTCTACCATCAGCCAGTTGCCATCAAATAGATTTAGACTCAGCAACCCCACGTGTGTCAGTAGAACTCTGCTCCATAGAGTTTTATGACTTCTTTCAGAGTACATCTCCAAGCACATTAACCATTTGTGTCACCTAGGGACTCTAGAATTATGTGACCCAGCAATTCCACTCCTAGGTATATACCCAAGGGAATTGAAGACAGGGATTCAAACGTATACGTGTACACCAATGTTCATTGCAATATTATTCACAATAGCTAAAAGGTGGAACCAACCCATGTGTCTATGAACAGATGAATGATAAAATGTGTTATATACATACAATGGAATATTCATCCATAAAGAGAAATGAAAATCTGATACATGCTACAACATAGATGAACCTTGAAAACATGCCGAGTGAAATAAATCAGACACAAAAGGACAAATGTTGTATAATCCCACTTCATATGAAATATGGAGAATAGGCAAATGCATAGAGAAAAGTTTATTAGTGGTTACTAGGGAGTAGAGGAGGGGATGGGAGTTACTGTTGAAGGGATACAGAGTACTGTTGGAGGTGATGTAACATTGAAACTTGGATAGTGGTGATGGTAGCACAACATGGTGAATGCGATTAATGTCACTTAAAAGTGGTTAGAATGGCAAACTTTATTACATGTATTTCGCCACAATAAAATTTTTTTGAAGTATGAATTCTAGAGTCAGATTTCCTGCGTTCAAATTCTGGTTTTGCTAGTTAGCTATATGACTGAGCAACTTGCTTATCCTTCACTTACTTGTGTAATCCTACCTCGTGGATCTATGTTGTTAGTTGCTGTGCAGTCAGCTCCAGCTCATGGTATTTACTTTTTGTATTAGTTAGGTCTCCAGTATGGTGCTGAATACAAGCGGTGATTGGGGCATGTTTTTCTTGTTTTTTATTTAATTTCAAATACTTTTAAAGTTTCAAGATCAAGTGTGACATTTTCTGTAGGTTTTTAACAGATGGTCTTTATCGGATTAATGAAGGTTCCATTTGCTAAGAGTTTCTGTTATGAATGACTGCTGAATTTGTCAAATACTTTTTCTGTATTTGCTGTAATTATTTCTTTTAGTTTTTAATGTGGAGGACTACAGTACTAGAAATTCCTGATACTGTTTTTCTAGAATAAACACTACATATTTGATCACTACATATTATTTTTGTGTATATATGACTGAATTCATTTGCTAATATTTTTATTTTTAAAAATTTTAGCTTTATTCAGGTATAATACAACAAAATATCCCGTTTTTAATACACTTTAATTTTTAGAGCAGTTTTAGGTTCACAGAAAAATTGTCCAGAAATAACAGAGAGTTCCCATATACTACCTCTTCTCCTGGCACATGGTTTCTCCCATTATTAATATCTTGCGTTAGTGTGGTACGTTTATTACAATTGATAAAGCAATATTGATACATTATT